AGGCTTGAAATGAGGCGTTGGGCTCAGGCTGGGGGAGGCAATAACCTTCCAGGCTCCTTCGCCCTTTTGGAGACAATGTACAGGCAACACCGTGTTTGCTGAGGAACCTTCTGAGTTTTTGGTCAGACCTTAGCCCATGGGGTTTCTCAGAGTTTCCTCCCTGATGTACAGGTTTGCGTTACTGCTGGCCAGCCCTGAACTAATTTAGTTAATTGCTTAACTACAAACAAGCATTTCCCTGCTTTCATGAAGTGCAGCTAATCAGACATAATTTTCTCGCATTCCTTGGATTCTTTACGTGGGTCAGTGCTATTCCCTCCACTTGTGCACACCTTCACTATGTGGGGTCTGTGAAATGATGCAGCTTTTGCAGAAGGTTGTCCTTTCTTTTCCATGCAAAACCAAAGCTCCGCTGATGCTTGTTTGGAGAGGAATTAGAAGCTTGGCTGTGGGTTTTGTCAGTATAAGCCTGTTTAGATTCACAACACTGTCTTGAAAAGGGGATTGTACTGCAAGGTCAGTGATGAAAACGATTGAGTGCAACTTTACCTTAATGCTGTAAGCAGTTAATTAATGTCAGTAAATCGTTTAGTGCAATTGCCTCCACGGGTCAGCCCCTCTCTAAGGAAAGCCTACATTAGTTTTGAAATTAAATTGCCTGTTAGGAACAAAGGCACTTGGTTTATTAGCAGGGACGGTCCCTAGATGTCCAACACTGAAAGCTAGGACTGCATGGAAGAAACTTTTGGTGAAGGAAATAGCGATGCTTTCAAGCTAAGGTGTTAGAGTGGCTTTTTGACTAACACTGCTGTGGGAGATGTCCCCACAGACCCAGGAGATGGTGCGGGTTGGAAGGGATCAGCTGGAGCAGTGGCAGGTCCCATGTCACCTGTTCCCAGTCTGGCAGAGCTGTGGAAGGCTTTGCATCTGCTTATTGGGCTGGAAGCACTTACACAAAATCCCATCTCATGTGGGTCCCGGGTTGCAGGTGGTCCAAGTCTCTGGTTCAGACCTCAACATTTGCAATGTCTGGCTGCTGCCTGGGTCACACTCCTCAAGTCAAGACATACTGAAGGTTAAAACTCATTATTAGCTTTACCAGAGCTTTGACTGCAACATAAATCTGTACTACACAGTCATTTTCTGATCATATACAAGTTTATTACAGAAATAAACCACCTTTGTTGTAAAGGTGTGCAGCATAAATGTCGACAGCATCGGCTGGGCCTGAAAGATGCAAGGAGAATTTGAAAGGGAATGAAATGGTGTTGTCTCGGGCTCGCATCTCTCATATTTTGGGCAACAAACATAGAGTCTGTTGCTTCTTGACTGTCACTTCATGATGAACGTAGATGATCGTGCGTCTTCTAAGTGCTATGTCCAGGCTGTCAGGGCTGGATGTGAGAGCAGTCTAGCAGAGGAGGTGCAGCCATCCCGCCTCTCGCCTGCAGGCACTGCACAAGGAGCACTCGTGCATGGGGGAGTGCTGGTGAGCCCCCTCCAGTGCCCCTTGGTCCGACAGTTTTGTATGTGGCAATGGTGGCTTTTGGGAGGCACTTGCATGGGGCAGGTGAGTGCTCAGGCCTCAGAGGCTTTGATAAAATTAATAAAAAAAAAACCCAAACAAACTATAAAATCCTAAAGGAGCATCAGAGTCTTGCAGTTCTTCCCAAAGAGGCTTTATCCACAGGCAACCCCTTTCAAATAAGCCAAACCCCCAATTCCATGGCTTCCCTGTTTCGATGCGTTAAAGACCTTGTAGGAGAATCCGCCCCATCCACCTGCTGAGTGATGCTTTATATAAATAGCTCATGTACACTCGCTATAAACAAAATACTATGTACATGTGAGGTTATTTTATTTGGTGTGAAGCTCTGAATACCCCTTGTGGTACCCCTCTCAAGGTGCTGGGGCAGGAGATCACAGCAGAAGATGCTTATGGTTGTGCTACCCAAGGACGGGCAGTGAAGGCACCTGGATCTGGGGTGAAAAGCCCCCTTTTCAGCAGCCCCGCCACCCGCAGAGCTATTCCTTCAGCAGACCGAGCTTCTTCAGTGCCTCTCGCCGGTTCTCATCGGTCGCGCCCTTGGGGGAAATCTTCACGCTGACGCAGGAGCGGGGCGGCCTGGGGAAGCTCTGCAGCGGGTGGGATCGCCGCTTGCTGCTCTTCTCCTGCTCCACCTGCCCAGGCTCCTTCAGACCAGCAAAGTCCTTCCCCGCCCCAAGGGACGCCGGCCGTGGGCGGCTGCTCCTGAGGAAGCTGGGGGCAAGCCGCTCGATGAAGGACATCTTGCCCAAGGAGCTGCTGGTCTTGACGCTCTGCTCCTTGGCGCTGGCCATGTAGCTGCTCAGCCCCACGCCGGAGCGCTCCAGGGTGTTGGATTTGAAGGTCATCTGCCGGATACCCGGCACCGACCTCTCCACTGCCCCACAGTGTGCCTCGGGCTCCCCAGGGACGGGGAATGGCATCTCCCTTGGTTGGGGATGCAGGTGAGCGCTGGGCTCCCTCTTGTCCTGTGACAGTCCAAGCTTCTCCAATGCCTCCCGCCGGGCTTTCTCCCTCTCCTTGGGGTCAAGGTGCCCTGGATTTGCCTTTTCAGCAGCGGTGTCGCTGGCAGAGCTGGGGTGAGAGCCGGCCGAGGATGGAGGCAGTGCTTTTACCTTCTGGCTGGGCTCTGTGGCAAGGGGCACTGGGCTGGTTTTGCTGGTTTTCAGGATAATATTTGGTGGCAGTTTTCTTGGCTTGGGTGCAGTTGGAGGCCCACGCTTGGCATCTGGGTCCTGAGGGGCCTCTTCCAATATGGATTTCTCTGGCTGGCCCCCTGAAGTCCAAGTCTTAGTCTCCTTGGCTGTTTCACTCTTGGCATCTGAGCGATTGCTACGTAACCACTCGTGGCTCACCAGGTCATCCTGGAAGGGATCTGGAGGCTGGATAATCAAAGATCCCAGGGACTTCATCTGGCTTCTCATGTTGGCTTGGTCAAGCCTGTGCTCCTTGGTCATCTCCTGCAAAGATTTAGCTATTGGGTCCTCCACCGTGCGGACAGTCGCTTTGCTGTTGGAAGCTCCGTTTGCTACAGTGATGTTCCTTGGAAGACTGCAATAGCCTGGGCTTGGGACTGCCGCTGGAGCCGAGCTTGAGAAGGCAGAGATGCTCTTACCGTTCAGCTGCACGCTGCTGGCCTACACTTGGAGGGGGAGCCCCGTTTTCCAAATCTAGGCAAAGAGAGAGATGAAGTCACGCACCGTTCCGCCGACGGACACAGGACACCGTCCTGTTTGCAGAACACGCTCCTTCGCGCCTGCGAAGCCAGGGCAGCCACGGCAGAGCACTTGCGCCCAGAGAGTTTACCCTGACTCCAGCTAATGTGCCAGAAAGTCACTGACTCCAGTCACTGCTAAGGAAGTCAGATACTTTGGATTTGGCAAAGCACGTGGTGGATGAGGAGCCTTGTTGATCTGTGTAGGCCTGTTGGGAGCGTGAGCAAAGATGCTCTGCCCTGCAGTTCTGCTGACCTTGCTCGACAGCTGCCTGCAGCTCCTGGACGAGAGAACTGGGAAGATGCAGTTGGTGCCCTGCCTATCTCGCTGCCTACAGCCACCACTCACCGTGGAGGGACGAAAACAAGCTGGCTTTAGCTCACCACACTCATAAAACTGGGGCAATGCCCCTTCCCTGCCTGCCCAGGGAAGGCACCCCAGCGAGAAGGTCCCTTTGCAGCCAAGGGCTGGAGCAGGGATTTCCAGCTTACCCTGGGGAAGGGCGTCTCTCTTCAGCCACGTCCCAGGCACCTTGGAGGGCTCCACATAGTCAGTCTCATCAGTAGAGACCCCGCTGTCTGCTTCTGCATCCAGTGAGCCAATAGTTTCTTCTAAGAACATCAAACACTCTT